TTTTAATAAAATTTCAGAAGTTTGGAGTCTTTATTTCTTCAAATATTCTTTCTCCCCACTTCTTTCTTCTCTCTTCTGGGGACTCCCGAAATGCATATGCTTGATGTTGCCTCTCACATCTCTTCTGTTGATTTTTCTTCATACTTTTTCCCTTCTGCTCCTCAAATGGGACAATTTCAATTGACTTATGTTTGCTTTTACTGATTCTTCATTCTGCATACTGAAATCTGCTATTAAAGCCCTCCAGTAAATCTTCCATTTTGCTTCCTGTACATTTCAGCTCCAGAATTTCATTTGGTTCTTTTTCACAGTTTTTACCTGTGTATTGATTTTCACCATTTAGTGAAATGTAGTTTTCCTGATTTTCTTTAGTTATTTGTCCATGGTTTCCTTCAGCTCTTTGACCATGTTTAAGACAGTTCATTTAAAGTCATTATCTAGTAAGTCAGTCCAGTGCTTGGCATTCTTCAGGAACAATTTATGTCCATTGCTTTTCCTGTGGATGGGTCATACTTTCATGTTTTTTGAAGTAGAAAACTAAACATTTTGATATAATGTGGTAACTCTGAAAATTATATATTCTAAACTATTTTTGTACAGACTGTATTCTTTATTGTGTGTAGTCACTGAAGTCTCTGTTCTTTTAGCTCAGTGGTATTCTAGTGTTTTCACAGAGATTTCCTTAAATGTCTTGAGCCAAGAAGAAAAAATTTTCAGTCTTTTCACCCAGGCTTTGTGGGTGTCTCGGGGTCATGCCTTCAGCAGTCAGTTGGGCAGTTTACAACTCTGCCTTTGCCTTTACTTCTTGCTTATCCAGCTATTGGCAGTCAGCTAGAGGTGTGAACAGGGGAGCTTCTTGGGTGCCTTGTGAGCTTGTGCCCCTCACTAGGCATTTACAAGGCTATCTACTTTCCCAGGAATATGGAAGCTTTCCAAAACCTTACTTCCCCAGAGCATCTCACTCCCATCTTTCCCTTCCAGTCTTTTCTGCATATCTATTACTTTCCTCAATTGAATTTTTTTTTTCTGCAGAGGTAGATGCAGACTTATTGGGTTTTAAAAGCTTTTTATTTTATTTTTTATCAAATGCTCTCTAGCTTGGCTCATTCTCTGCCCTGAGACAGATAAAAGTAGGGGGAAAACGCAAAATTTCTGTTCATCCTTCAGGGAGTTGCCCAACAGCACACACACACACACACACACACACACACACACACACACACATTCACAAAAAGAATTCTTTGAGAGCAAGATCTGCTCAGCTCCATCTGGCACCAGGAACCCAAGCTGAGAACCCAGGCTGCTGTATTCAAGAACACTGATGACCTGGAGAAGGAGAAATGGGCCAAGGGTAAGTTGTGATCCTATTAAGCTCTGCTATTGCATTCCAGTTATTTTTATTTTCTGCCTTCACTTGGGTGCTATAAATCTTTGAAGATTTTTCAGAGTTTCAATACACTTGATTGTGAACCCAATCAGAATACCTGTTGGTGGAGTCCAGGAATATGTGTTTTAACAACTCTCCTCAAGATTGTGTGTGTGTCTGTGTGTGCGCTGTTTCACAAGTACATTGTCTCTTGTGCCATCCCTCTTGTGTTGGGCTGGACTCCTGGAGTTTCCTATGCCACCACGTTCTCTGATGTCACTCCCCTCAGCTGGTTTTGAATTGTTCTTATGCATCACAATTCCTGGCCTGTTAATTATCTCCAGGAAACATTTTTACTTGGTAAACATTCATCAATCCCCTACCTTATTCTGGGTACTGTACTCCATGGACTGGAGTCTCAGAAAAAGAAATCAAACTTCCTCAGACCTCATGGATGGCACAGCCTAGGTAGGGATGGGAAGATGGATAAGAAGATAATAAAACAACATATTAAGTACTTTACATTATTTTTTCATTCGAACTCTACATTATGAATATTTTATAAAGACAATATTGATTTACATGTACCTATGATTACCTCTTTCTTTCTCCTTCCTTCCTTCCTTCTCTTTTCTTTTTCTTTCTTTCTTTCTCTCTCTTTCTTCCTTTCTTCCTTTCTTTCTTTCTTTCTTTCTTTCTTTCTTTCTTTCTTTCTTTCTTTCTTTCTTTCTTTCTTTCTTTCTTTCCTTTCTTTCTTTCCCTTTTCTTTTTCCTTCCCTTCCTTCCTTCCTTCCTTCCATCCATATTTTATGACCTAAATATTTTCAGAGTAGGAATTTTGCCAATAAACCAATGGTCCCAATTAAATAAAAATGTCCTTATTTTACTCTTATTCTTGAAAGATGGATTTGCCAGCCACAAATTTCTCCTTTCACATTGCTTTTCCCTGAGCTCTTCTATGATGCTCTTTCTTCTGGTTGCTATAGGTAATTAGGAGAAATCAGCTACATTCCAACCCAGCTGATGTTCAGATGATCTGCGTTTCTGCTGTGTCTACCTTTAAGCTACCTTTAAGCTCATTTGTCTTTAGCATCTGACACTCCAGGGCAGCATGAGTGGATGTTGTTCTCTTTCATTCACAGGGTTATGCATACATTTGCTTAATCTTTAACCATAATCTCTTTATGGAATGCCTCCTGCTGTTTACTCTCTTTCCATGTTCTAGGAATTTAACAGTGTTAAACCTTATTCAGCCGTCATATTCACTGTGAAACCCAGAATAATAACCTCACAAATATATCCAAACCTTAAGCCCCAGAACTTTTAAATATGTTACCTTACAGAACAAAAGGGACTTACAGATATGATTAAGGGTTTGGACTTTGTGATGGGGAGATTATTTTGGATTATCTTGGCGTGCCCAATCTGATCACAAGTTCTTCTTTTATTTTAATTTTTATTATAAATTCCAGGGTACGTGTATAAGATGTACAGGTTTGTTACATACACAAATGTGTGCCATGGTAGTTTGCTGCACCTATCACACCATCATCTAGGTATTAAGCCCAGCATGCATAACTATTTTCCCTAATATTCTCCCTCCCCGAAGCTACTCCATGACAGGCCCCACTGTGTGTTTCTCCCCTACCTGTGTTCATGTGTTCTCATTATTCAGCTCACATTTGTGAGAACATGCTGTAGTTGTTTATTTGTTTTTCTGTATCTGAATTAGTGTGCTGAGGATAATGGCTTCCAGCTCCATCCATGTCCCTGCAATTAACATGATGATTCCTTTTTATGGCTGCATAGTATTCCATGGTGTATGTGTGCCACATTTTTCTTTATCCAGTCTATCATTGATGGGCATGTGGGTTGATTCCATGTCATTGTTATTGTGACTAGTGCTGCAATGAGCATATATGAGCATGTATCTTTGTAATATAATGATTTATATTCCTTTGTGTGTATACCCAGTAATGGGATTGCTGGGTCAAATAGCATTTCTGGTTCTCAATTTCTGAGGAATGGTCACATCGTCTTCCACAATGGTTGAACTAGTTTACATCCCCACCAACAGTGTAAAAGCACTCCTATTTCTCTGGAAACTCACCAGCATCTATTTCTTGACTTTTTAATAATCTCCATTATGGCTGGTGTGAGATGGTATCTCACTGTGGTTTTGATTTGCACTTCTCTAATGGTCAGTGATGAGGAGCTTTTTTTCATAGATTAGCTGTCTTCTTTTAGAAAGTCTTCTTTTAAGAACTGTCTGATTATGTCCTTTGTCCACTTTTTAATGGGGTTGTTTTTTTTCTTGTAAATTTATTTAAGTTCCTTGGAGATTCTGGATATTAGACCTTTGTCAGATGGATATATTGCACTTTTCCCCCCAACTTTGTACATTGTCTGTTCATTCTGGTAATTGTTTGCTTTGCTGTGCAGAAGCCCTTTAGTTTAATTAGATCCCATTTGCCAATTTTGGCTTTTGTTCCAATTGCTTTTCATGTTTTTGTTGTGAAATCTTTGACTGTTCCTACGTCCTGAATGATATTGTCTAGATTTTCTTCTAGGGTTTTTATGGTTTTGGGTTTTACATTTATGTCTTTAATCCATATTAGCTAATCTTTGTACAATGTGTAAGAAAGGGGCCCAGTTTCAATTTTCTGCATATCGCTAGCCAGTTCTCCCAGCACTACTTATTAAATAAGAAATATTTTCCTGGTTACTTGTTTTGGTAAGGTTTGTCAAAGAGCACATAGTTGTACATGTGCAGTCTATTTCTGAGTTGTCTATTCTGCTCCATTGGTCTGTGTGCCTGTTTTTGTACCAGTATGATGCTGTTTTGGTTACTGTAGCCTTGTAGTATAGTTTAAAGTCTAGTAGCATGATATCTCCAGTTTTGTTCTTTTTGCTTAGGATTGTCTTGGCTCACAATCTTTTTTGGTTCTATATGAATTTTAAAATAATTTCTTCTAATTCTATGAAAAACGTCAATGGTAGTTTAATAAGAATAGCATTGAATCTATACATTAGTTTGGGCAATGTGGCCATTTTCACAATATTGATTCTTCCTATCCGTGAACATGGAGTCTTTTTCCATTTGTTTGTGTCATCTCTGATTTCCTTGAGCAGAGGTTTGTAGTTCTCTTTGAAGAGGTTCTTCAATTCCCTTGTTAGCTGCATTCCTAGGCATCTTATTCTGTTTTTTGCGACCTTGAATAGAAGTTTATTCATGATTTGACTCTCTGCTTGTCTGTCATTGGTGTATAGGAATGCTTATGACTTTCGCACACTGATTTTGTATCCTGAGACTTTACCGGAGTTATTTCTCAGCTTAAGAAGCTTTTCTGCTGAGAAAATTGGATTTTTTAGATACAGGATCATGTCATTTGCAAACAAAAGCAATTTGACTTTTTCTCTTCCTATTTGAATATCCTTTCTTTCTCTTACCTGATTGCCCTGACCAGAACTTCTAATACTATGTTGAATAGGAGTGGTGAGAGAGGGTATCTTTGTCTCATGCTGGTGTTAAAGGGGAATGCTTCCAGCTTCTGCCCATTAAGTATGATACTGGTTGTGGGTTAGCTTTTATCACTTTGAGGTATGTTTCTTCAATACCTAATTTATTGAGTTTAAAAATATAGAATACTTCAAAAATTTGTGTATCACCATTGTGCAGAGGCCATACGGATCTTCTCTGTATTGCCCCAGTTTTAATCTATGTGCTGCCAAAGTGAGCACTGATCACAAGTTTTAAAGAGTGGAGCTAACAGAGGAAATGTGGGTGAGAGGGAGGGCTGGATTTCACCTGCAGTAGTTTTTGAGTCTAGTGAAATGTGATTATCTCTGCCTTTTATTCTTTAATTAAGTGGTAAAATGCATTACAGAGTTAAAGTTTAAATATTCTTGCATTCTTGGGATTCTTGCATTCTTACAATCTGGGCAGGATATTTAATTTGTTTACAGCTCATTGGTGGACACAGTCTACTACTATTTTTCTCAGTATTTTTACATCTAATTGCTTAGAAGTGATTATCCTAGCATGCTTTTCTCTTATGTATTCCATAGCTGGCTTTAGAATCTATGTGATTTATGCACAAACAATAATGAGTTCACTCACTTTCTCCATGTTTCCTCATTCTCTTGAATATTATGTATAAGTTCAGTAACCTTCTTCGAAGATTTGGCAGAACTTACCTGTAAAACATTCTGGATATGCCTGAAGAGAAATAAAGTTTTGCAACCATTTTAACTTCTTTACTTGTAGTAAGTTCTTCCAGTTGACATAATCTTGTTCATTGTTTCACAATTACTTAAACCTCTACTGTATCTTTAGTTGCATATTTATGTGTCATAATCCTATTTTATTCTTAATTACCACTGCCTGTTTTATGTTTTTCTCCAAATAAACAGCTGCTTTTGGCATGCTGGGCCCTCAACAGTGGCAGCTGCCGGGTTATCCTGGGTGAGTGTTGACTCAATTGCTGTGCCTGTGCATTGTCCTTCCCAGCCATCATGGCCATTTTGTGCAGGGACTCCATGATCAAAACCTCTATGCCTGAGTGCCCTCATCCATCAAGCCATCTTTCCCACCTTATTACAGGGAGCTCCATCCCCTAAAGACCCTCTGGGAGGCTTCCACACACAACCACTATATTCACACACTCTGCCTATGGGAAGAGGTCTGTGTGTACCTCTCTCCTCCACCTCCCAATTTTCCAACTCTGTTTTCTTCAAATTGGTGCCTGGCCAGCCAAGCCATGAGCCACTGCCCATGACTCATTCATTCATGCACTACTGGGGCATCATTTCACATTCTCCACCTCCCATGGGCCTGTTTGGGTTTTGATTCCTAGTTCCTGGCTCGACAGCCATTTCCAAAGCTGTCCTGGTGTCTGCTCTGGGTCCTACTGCTCTTGTTGTAGATCCTCTTCTTTATATGTATTTATTTCCCGGAATTTAAAAAAATTGCACTCATTGTTTTCAATGCAGCATTTCCAAGGATGTGCAGTAGGAGCGGTTTGTCTTACTGTAGATAGAATTGCTTCAAAACACCAGAAATGTCTATTTGAGTGAAGCACAACATGCATGGAGAAAGGAGGACAATCCACAAATGGACAGTGGATTTTCACAAAGTGAACACTCAAGCAAACAACACCCACATCAAAGTACAGCAGCCACCGCTTCCCGGAAACAACTTTGGGGCCTACTTTGTCATGAACCACCCTAGAGTAGACACTCTTGATTTTTCAGCTCCATCAAGTCGTTTTTCTAGTTAGCATTTCATCTAACCTTTTCTCAAGGTTCTTCGTTTCCTTGCATTAGGTTAGAACATGCTCCTTTAGCTAGGAGAAGTTATTTATTACCTACGTTCTGAAGCCTGCTTCTGTCAATTCATAAAACTCATTCTCCATCCAGTTTTGTTCCCTTGCTGGTGAGAAATTGTGATCCCTTGGAGAAGAAGAGGTGTTCTGGTTTTTGGTGATTTCAGCATTTTTGTGCTGGTTTCTTCCCATCTTCGTGGATTTATCTACCTTTGGTCTTTGGAGTTGGTGACTTTTGGATGGGGTCTCTGAGTGGATGTCCTTTCTGTTGATTTGAAGCTATTTCTTTCTGCTTTTTAGTATTCCTTCTAACAATCAGGCCGCTCAGCTACAGGCCTGCTGAAGTTTGCTAGGGGTCCACTCCGGACCCTGCTTGCCTGGAAGTCACCACCTGTGGGGCCTGCAGAACAGCAAAGATTGCTGCCTGTACCTTCCTCTGGTAGAGTTTCATCTCAGAAGGGTACCTGCCGGATGTCAGTCAGAGCTCTCCTGTATGACGTGTCTCCCGGTCAGGATAAATGGGGGTCAGGAAGCCACATGAGGAGGCAGTCTGTTCCTTATCAGAGCTCAAGTGCTGTGCTGGGAGATCTGTTGCTCTCTTCAGAGCTGCTGGACAGGGATATTTAAGCCTGCTGAAGCAGAACCCACAACCACCCCTTTTCTCAGGTACTATGTCCCAGGAAGGTAGGAGCTTTTTAAAATAAGTTCCTGACAGGCTACCGCTTTTTTTCAGAGATGCCCTGCCCAGCAAGAAGGGAGTCTAGTCACCGTCTGCCTGCAGAGGCGCTGCTGAGCTGCTGTGGGCTCTGCTCAGTTGCTGTGTAAACTTCCCAGGGGCTTTGTTTACACGGGCAAGGTTAAAAGCACCTACCTGAGCCTCAGCAATGGGGGACACCCCTTTCTCCCACCGAGCTCATGTCCCAGGTTGAGCTCAGATTGCTGTGCTGGCTGTGAGGATTTCAGGCCAGTGGACCTTAGCTTGCTGGTCTTCCTGGAGGTGGGACCCGCTAAGCCAGATCACTTGGCTCCCTGGCTTCAGCTCCCTTTTCTTCAGGGGAATGAGTGGTTCTGTCTCGCTGGAGTTCCAGGTGCCATGGGGGTATGAGAAAAAAAAAAAAAAAAAAAAAGAAAACTGCTGTGGCTAAAACAGCCACCCGGTTTTGTGCTGGAAACCCAGGGAGCTGGTGTTGTATGAACCAGAAGGAATCTCCTGGTCTGCGGGTTGTGAAGACCTTGGGAAAAGAGCAGTATATGAGCAAGAGTGCTAGAGTGTCCATAAAAGTTCCTAATGGCTTCCCTTGACTAGGAGAGGGAGTTTTCCAGCTCCTTGGCTTCCCGGGTGAGTCGACACCCCACCCTGCCTCAGTTGCCCTCCTTGGGCTGCACTCACTGTCTAACCAGTCCCAATGAGATGAACCCAACCTCAGCTGGAAATGTGGAGATCACTCGCCTTCTGGCTTGCTCTCGCTGAGAACTGCAAACCGGAGCTGTTCCTATTCGGCCATCTTGGCAGAAGTCCACTCTTGATTCTTAACACAGATTACTTCTGCCAGTTCTAGTTGAATGGTATTATGTAGTCACCATCATATCCCTGGGTCTCACCATCTTGATGTGTGTGGTCGTAGCCTATTCACTCCCATGACTGTCCAACACTCCACTTTATAATAGCTCACACTTCTCATCCCTTCACTATTGATAGACAATTGTTTTGTATCCAGATCCTAAAAATGGTGCTGCTATAAATAATATTTTTATATATTTTGGTACACATATACACACATTTCTATTGGTTCATAACTAAGAGTGCAATTGCTAGGTCATAGGTGAGTAGATGCTTGTCTTAGTCTCTCAAAAAACAAGCTTTTAGTAGTAAACCAATAGTAGAGGAGGTAAATCTCTTACTTTAGAAATTATTAGATAAGTGAAGAAGGAATGAGAGACTTAGACTATAATAACTCTTTTGCAATCCATCATGAATTAACAGATTTAACCATTGAGTAGCAATGACAATTAATAACACAATACAAGAAAAAACTAATGTTTGGTTCTTCCTCTTGATGGAAGAACAGAATCCAGTACCATCAAACAAGTCCAAGTGAAAAATAAATCAAGTCTGAATCTCAGCTAACCTCCATGGCCAATTACCAATTTAGAGGCCATACAGGTAATAGAAATACAGATTCAACTATGCCTTGGGGAGCAATCAGCAAAATACACACTACAGGAAGCTCTACCACACAATGTACATTTCAAGGAGAATCTATAGAATAAAAGAGAACAAAGCATATTTCTAAAGGTAAAACTAAATTACAATTTTAGATGATAAAATTATAAAATAGAACAAAGAAGTGATGATCATAAAAGTCAGAAGAGAAAAGAGTTTACCGCTAGACTGGGGCAAATGATGGGACTTCTGGTTTGCCCCCCTAAACCTCTATCCCTGGTGGTTAATGGGTGTTTACTTTTTATTAAAGGACACAAATTTTAGACAGGTTTTTTTCCTTTCGGAGTCCTATATTTTATTGTCTGACACAAAGGCTAATGAAAAAATAATTTATAAAGTATGGTTCCTTTTTTGCAGAAAGCCTCCTCCGCGTTTTCCTCTCTGGACACGGAGCATCCAGAACAACCAGCAACCCTAGGACCCCCAGCAGGGTTACCTTACTTCTAAGTGTGCATGCAGCTCACATCACCAGAGGCAATATACAGGTTTATTCCTTGACTTTTGGAAAAATCTGATAGGACACAGCTGAAGGGAAGTCTTCCCCGCCGACTGTAGGTTCTTGGTCATCAGTGTAGAGGGAGCTGGTCCTCACCTTTCCACAGGTGCCTTCATGGCCAGAGCCTACTCTCTGCATGGAGAGTAAGGCCTGGCCCTTCCCCTGAACAGGTGACATGGATCTTGCCAAAGGTGGAGATGACACCATTCCTCCCCCAGCAACCTCACGCTTCTTTTGCTTTACAGGAAAGTTGATTCAACCTGGTGTTCAGTGAAGAAATCCCAAGTGCAAAGAAGTGGATCTCAGGGCTGTGCGTGATCTGCAAAAGAAAGCACAGGGACCACCAGGTGGCGCTGCTGCGCTGCTTCTGCTCCCAAGAGGTGGATGTCCAGGATGAGCTTTAAGGTGGAGAGAGGGGTGTCATTGCTCTTCCTCCAGGTTCCAAGTAAAAAGATTTCTGCCCAGCCCATCTCGTTCTCCTTGAATCCTCAAGGCCAATGAGGACTGTCTCCTCACCTCCTTGAACTAGGCTTTTTAACACTGAAAAGTGGATGTGATTTCTAGTTTCAGCATGTCCTGGTTTATTGTGCTGCCAGTAAAATAAAATAAAAATATACATCGAATAAATAACAACTAAAATAACCATAGTGAGCAAAGGTTTACATTGTATTTTTTAGAGTCAAGATGTCCCTCTGTG